CACGAATACCGGGGTGCGACAAATTGTGCAAGGTGTTCAAGACCTGTGTGGTGATTCGGATCTACGAGATCACGCCTGCCCTGGAGCAGCGCGGTACAGTTTCCGGACATTGGTAGTCAATCGATCTTGAGCGCTGATACCAGTAGCACGTGCACAGCCTCCGGATACACGTCATTGGTAGGCCGTTCCAGCCAATCAGATACAACGCAGAGAAGAGCAATATGACGCAAGATGTGATGCAATATGATTGGTGGGAACTAAGGTAGCCAATGATCTTTTCTTGTGTACAGATATATTCACTTTCATTTCCTTCAATAAACGACTTTGCGATTCGCCTGTCTTGTGGCCTTTTTCCTCGCGTCTCGATCCTGCGGGTTATTGCGAGTTCGAGCTATTGCGGTCCAGTTCCGACGGTTTTCTAATTTGTGTTCCGTGATTCCTATTGCGTAGTTCGTGTCCTGGATTCTGTGCGTAACTTCACTACTACTACTTCTATAATCATTACTAGCTGCTTTCTATAGGGTTGTGGCACTACCGGGCGAGGTGTGCCTGCAGAGCTGTCACACCAGATGTTACCGTCAGAGGTGGTCAGCGGCACTAGCTCGAGCTTAAGCGAGCTGTTATTCTTAAGTGTCTACAGCTCGGAGTCGGTGGTCCGCGCGTCAGCGATTCTTGAAAGGTCGATGTTGTCGGACGGTACGATGAGTTGGATGCGTGACAACGCATCGGCAGTTTGCGGTCACCTGAGACATGTCGGATATCCTCAGTGAACTGAGTGATATAATCCAGGTGACTGACCTCTCTGGGAAATATCCATCGGAGTTCGATCTGATGGCGTAGATGAGCGGCTTGTGATCAATGAAGACCACGAAAGGACCGCCTTTGAGCATGTGTCGAAAATGCCATATCGTCAGATAGATGGCTAGAAGTTCGCGACTAAAAGTGCTATATCTTGATTCAGACGGTTGCAACCGCTTAGAGAAGAAAGCGAGCGGTTGCCAGGTGTCGTTGATGCATTGCTGTAATACAGCGCCTACCGCAACGTCGGATGCGTCGGTGGTGAGCGCCAGAGGGGTGCCGGGGACGTACTGCGAGACGGAAGCCATGTCGGAAATGGCTTGTTTCAGGCTGACGAACGCCTTGCGTGCGTGGTCGGTGAACACGAACTGCCTAGGATTACCACGCAACAGGTCCGTCAGCGGCTGCATGAGTGTATCGCACTGCGGGATGAAGTGTCAACAGAAATTAACGAGGCCTTGGAATCGTTGGAGCTGTTTTAAAGGTTCGGGGTATTCCGAAATGGCAACCACCTTGTCTTGCAAGGGTGCAACGCCGGATTCAGAGATACGGTGACCTAAAAATATGGCGCTGGATTCGCCGAAGGAGCATATTGCGGCGTTGATGGTAACACCTGGTTGACGGAGACGCGTAAAGAGAGCGCGCAGATACTGTTCGTGCTCCTCGGGAGTGGTGCTGGCTACTAGAACGTCATCGAGGTACGCGAAAGCGTTGTCTAAACGTTCACAAACCTGGTCGATGAAACGTTGAAGCGTTTGAGCAGCGTTGCGCAGACCGAAGGGCATGCGCAAAAACTCGAAGAGGCCAAGCGGTGTGATCACCGTGGTCTTGGGAACATCCTCCGTGTGTACGAGAATCTGGTGATACGCGCGCACCAGGTAGATTTTACTAAATACCCTGCATCCCCCTAGACTAGCCGTCAAATCTTGGATGTGAGGGATTGGGTAGCGGTCTGGTGTAGTGACGCTGTTCAGCGAGCGGTAGTCGCCACATGGTCGCCAGTCGCCAGGGGACGTTTTGGGGACCATATGTAATAGCGAAGCCCAAGGGCCGGAGGATGGGCGGATGATGCCGAGATCCAGCATGTGCTGAAATTCAGCACGGGATATTTTGAGTTTGTCCGGGGCGAGGCATCTAGGGCGACGGTGTGTCGGTGGGCTGCGCGTTACGATATGATGAACGATGTCGGTGGTCGCTTGAGGTAGAGTATCCGGCGGTTTACACAACTCCGGAAATTCGGAGAGAACCGCACGGAATCTGTCTGTGACGTCTGGAACGTATAGCAGTGAACTAAGCGACGGAACATTTGCGGGTGTCCCACGAGTCTCACAGGTGGTGAGACGGTCGATAAGCTTGTGGCTCACCGGGTCAACCAATAGGTTGAAGCGTCGGAGAAAGTCAATAACAATGATGGACTGTGGAAGGTCAGCGATAACAAATACCCAGGGTAGACTACGGCGAGTACCGAAGTCCAGTGTGAGTGAACGCTCGCCGTAAATTTTGATGGGTTCGCAGTGACTAGTTCCACGGAACAGAGTCGGTGGAGGTCAGCGGGGGGAGGACGAATGACGCTGATCTGTGCGCCTGTGTCGACCAGGAAACGTATTCCGGTAATGCGGTCTGTGACGAAAAACAGCCAACTTGGTTGTGGTGAACCGGACACGGTAGTCGCCTAGGCCGATCGGCTGACTAGTTTCCCGCTCTGTATGTGTAGGTGCATGGTTTAAGACACCTTTTTGCGGCGTTACCTTAACGACGGTGATACCAGCAAATACCATTCGATGGCGAACGAGAACGAGGACGCCGGGGGCTGCGGCTCCAGTAGTTGGAGCGCGAGCGACATCGTTGTCGCGGGCGGTCGCGTGATGTGGTCAACGCCCGAACCTGCGCAACTAACGCCTTTACGCATGCTACAATTTCAGCGTTTTCGGAGGAGGGCATTGGATGCGCTGGTTGGGTGAAAGTTTGGACGGACAACTGGTCGGCATATGCTCTGTCAGCCATTTCGGCGAGTTCCATTAAGGTATAGCGTTGTCCGAAATACTGCAGCATCGACGACAAGCTCTTTGGTAGAGCTTGTAGCCAAGACAAACGGAGGATATTTTCGTCGACGTTCAGGCTTGCGGCCTGGCCCTGCATGTAACTTAAAAGTTTTGTGGGCGTGTCAAGGCCGTTGTCTCCCAGACGCAGGCCGCCCAGAAATTGTTTAAGGTGGCATTCTACGGGCATGCCAAACCTGCCCAGAATCGCATCGCCAAGGGCGTCGTAGGGTCGGTCTGGGGGTGGGTTACAGACAATATCACGTAGTCCTGGAGCCATAGATCTAGGGAGGTAACCAACCAACTGAGTGAACTTGGCTAATTAATTGGTTACCCTGGCAAGCTTAAACTGGGCCTCGACCTGGGCCAGCCAAAATTCTGGGTCTTCCAGAATAAACTCCGGTACACGCGCTTGTGGACCCAATTAATCTAAATAAA